TTTCAACTTTTTTACATTTTTCCAATACTCTAAACCATTGCAACATTTGTTGTATATACATTTTTGCATGCTTTAAAAATCATTTCCTTAGGATAAATTCATAAAAGTAGACTTGTAGGGCAGGGGATATAGCTCAGTTGGTAGAGTGCTTGCCTCTCATGCACAAGGCCCTGGGTTCAATCTCCAGCACCACACACACACACACACAAAATGACTTATAAACAAATCAAGGTGCATTGTTGCTGCAGAAAGTCTTCATTGTTTCTTACAGATAATCCTGAGCTTAGAATGGTATCTCTCTAATCTTAGATGGGGGATAGAAACAAACAAGTGCCCTCCTAGTAAATATGGTTTCCCTCTTGCTGCAAACTAATTGCCCTGCCTCTTTCCCATACAACCTTTTAGAAAAATGCTCACCCACCATGCAGTTCACACCATTCAATTAGGCTTCCATCCCTACTGTGATCACCAGAGAACACTTAAAAACTCTTCAGTTCTACTGTTTTCTCTTGATGTTACATGACATTACTTGTCACTCTTCTTGAATATCTTTCTGTGAGAACACATTACCTGATTTCTTCTTAAGTCTCCAGTTCTTACATCTCCATCTTCCTTTTATGATCTTCTACCTGACCCTGCTATCCCTTTAGTTTAAAGTTTCTTTGACATTTATCAACCCTTTCAGCTGCTTAAATAATTAAAGATCTTCTTTTATTAATTTTTTATTTATATATGACAGCAGAATGCATTACAATTCTTATTACACATATAGAGCACAATTTTTCATATCTCTGGTTGTACACAAAGTATATTCATACCAATTTGTGTCTTCATACATGTACTTGAATGATGATGTTCATCACATTTCACCAACATTTCTAACCCCATTCCCCCTCCCTTCCCCTTCCTCCCCTCTGCCCTATCTAGAGTTTGTCTATTCCTCCCATGCTCCCCCTCCCTACCCCACTATGAATCAGACTCTTTATATCAGAGAAAACATTCAGCATTTGGTTTTTGGGATTGGCTAACTTCACTTAGCATAATCTTCTCTAACTCCATCCATTTACCTGCAAATGCCATGATTTTATTCTCTTTTATTGCTGAGTAATATTTCATTGTGTATATGTGCCACATTTTTTATCCATTCATCTATTGAAGGCATCTAGGCTGGTTTCACAGTTTACCTATTGTGAACTGTGCTGCTATAAACATTGATGTGGCTGTGTCCTTGTAGTATGCTGTTTTTAAGTCCTTTGGATATAGACCGAGAGAGGGATAGCTGGGTCAAATGGTGGTTCCATTCTCAGTTTTCTAAGAAATTTCCATACAGCTTTCCAGATTGGTTACACCAATTTGCAGTCCCACCAGCATGTATGAGTGTACCTTTTTCCCCACATCCTTGCCAACACTTATTGTTGTTTGTCTTCATAATAGCTGCCATCTGACTGGAGTGAGATGAAATCTTAGTTTTGATTTGCATTTCTCTAATTGCTAGCAATGATGAACATTTTCATATATTTGTTTATTGATTGTATATCATCTTCTGAAAAATGTCTGTTCAGGTCCTTGGCCCATTTATTGATGGAGTTATTTGTTTTTGTTTTTGTTTTTTTTTGGTGCTTAGCTTTTTGAGTTCTTTATATATCCTAATTAGTGCTCTATCTGATGTGTGAGGGGTAAAGATTTTCTCCTAAGATGTAGGCTCTCTATTCACCTCCCATATTATTTCTTTTGCTGAGAAGAAACTTTTTAGTATTAATCCAACCCATTTATTGACTCTTGATTTTAATTCTTACACCAAAGGAGTCATATTAAGGAATTTGGGGCCTAATCCCACATGATGGAGATTAGGGCCTCCTTTTTTTTTCTATTAGATGCAGGGAATAATTAAGGATCTTTAAAACATTAAATGTACAACTGATTAATAAATAAAGCAAAGTATTCTTTTGTAAGGCCAAAAAAATGATTGTCGTTCATACTCTTCTAGGCAAACCTAGCTTTCCCTGTATGGATGACTCTTAAAGTATGATCCCTGGATCAACAGCATCTGTATCACCTGAGAACTCGTTAGAATATTCTTGGGCCCCATCCCAAAACCTACAGAACCTGCAGTTTGTATTCTAATAAGGCCTCCAGGTGATTCTGATGCATGCAAACATTTAAAAACCACTACTCTATATAATGCACCCTTTTAATGTGAGGCATTAGTTTAATGACTAGGATAACTGAGGGAATCAGAAATAATGAATTCTACTTTTAAGTAGCTGTGTAATGTTGAATTACATACATGGATCCTTTATTCCTAAGGAGATCAGGGTAAAAGAAAGGACTAAAATGCAGGATAGAAATAGAAGTCCTCCCACATTGCTTCTCACAAGAAATGAGACCCTAGTTTGGCTACATGGGAATTACCTTACCCCTTTTGCTACCACTGGTGAGGTTCCCCAGTACCTGAGGGGGAAGTGCTCCCTTTGTTGCCCTGGACAATCTTATTTGCCAGATTCACTGACTCCAGTGGAGACCCCTACTTTTCACAATCACCTCACATACCAACAGGCAGGATAGAGGGAGGCAAGGGAACTGGCAGATGAAAGGGAAGGGAATACTTTCTGCTTCTTAAGCAGCCACTGCTCTGGTGAAGGCAGAGGCCTGTTACTTGTGTGCCCTGGAAGGTTCATCTTCTCTCCAGCCCCTTCCTCGCTCTCTCTGTTTCCTAGCCTCCATGAGGTGAGCAGCTTTCCTCCAGCCATCCATTCACCCATCCCACTTCCCTTCTGCCCTGCTCTCCTCCTATCTATCTACCCACCCATTCACCCATAATTCTAGAAATACTGGTGTACCAGCTTGATTTCGCTCCAATATCAAATGAGGTTGGATCTCATCAGAGACCACCAATCCATGATACTTTGTTTGTTTGTTTTGTTTTAGGGTTTTTGTTTGTTGTTGTTGTTGTTTTTGTTTGTTGTTGTCATTGTTGTATTTTTGGTTTCTTCAGTATTTCCCAGAATGGTCCACTGGAACGCAGAAAGAAAATCTCAGAACTTCTATTTATATTTCTTAACCCATCCGTTTGAAGTTTCTAGTTTGGGTATGTGAGTGAATCACACACTATATAGCCTTTTGTTACTGGCTTCTTTGACTAAGCATGTTCTGTATTATAACGTGAATTCAATGTATTAATACTATCATAAACATGTAATTTAAAAATGACATTCTCAAAAAATCAAAAAGTGTACAATCAGGGGCATGGAGAATACAAATATTTTGGAGACCACAGCTATGAAGAATATGTTCAAAAGACCACAAGAGCAATTGAGGATACACAAGTACTCACTTTGGGAGTAAAGAGCAAGAAGAGGCCCAGTCACAGTCTTGTAAAGCTGGACATCTAGAAAACATGGCCACAACCCAGTGCAGATGGGGCCCACCTTTGTTCCACGTTACTGTGTGTTATGGTTTGGATATGAGGTGTCCCCAAAAGCTTCTGTGCTAATGCAGGAATTGTTAAGAGGTGAGATGTAGGTGGGGCAATGGCTGGAGGAGGTAGGTCACTGGGTGTGTGCCCTGGAAGGTTTATCCTCTCTCCAGCCCCTTCCTCGCTCTCTCTGTTTCCTAGCCTCCATGAGGTGAGCAGCTTTCCTCCACCATGCCTTTCCAGAATGATGTTTGGCCTCACCTTGGGCCCAGAGCAATAGAGTCGGCTGTCCATGAACTGAATCTCTGAAATAAAGAGCTAAAATAAACTTTTTCTCCTCTAAGTTGGTCTTGTCAGGTATTTTGGTCATAGCGATGAAAAGCTATCTTATACACTGTCCAAGGTCACACAGTGGTTACTGCTGAGCCAGGAACACAGGCCAGTCATGCCCGAGTCTAGCTCTTATTTTACTGCCCACACAAAGGAACATGGAACTGGAGCCTGAACTTGAAGCCAAGACAGCAGATTCTTTAAGTAACCTCTCTGCCTAAGAGCATGTCCTGAAACTTCATCACGTATAGGTGAAAGTAAAGATTTCAGTGATTTGTTTTAATTGAATAAGAAAATGAGGAACTTTCACTAATATAACTTTGTATCACATTCATACCATGTTTCTTCCAACCTAAAAAAAACTGAATGTTTTTCCTTCATACCGACATAACTTTTTTAGCATATGATCAGTTCACTTAAAAGATTTCATCATTTGCCATAAGGCTGGGTGAAGGTATGACATACATGGATATAATACTCTCAAACTTCAAACCTGGAGTTACTCTCTTCTTTCACAGGTACAGAATGGTTTGTCTTTTGGCCACATTTTTAAAAGTACAACCATTTTGAAAAATATTAGAAACAATACGAAAATAAAATACTAAGTAATGATTGTGAGTGAGAACACGAATGAGATACCAAACTGTAGAAATGGAAATAGGTTGACATTTTTAGAACTGTAACCTTCAGCTAACAACTGCTTGATATTTACTATTAGAGGTTTCCTCACGGAACCTAGAATAAGGTGCAGTAGCTGTTAAATGGCAAGGTTTCTGCCTTCAAAGAAGTTGAAATCCAGGAAGAGAAAACAAAACTAAATATATTCTTACATTCAGTATTTCAGTGTTGTATGAAGGAGCCATCAGTGACCTGGAAATCATCATTTCAGGTCCTAGATCTATAACTTCCTTATAACATCAGAAGTGATGGTGGTGGTGGTTTAAAAAAAACCCACAGGGGTAGAAGTAAAACTCTGTAAAATGGATGAATAATATATAGGAACCTACTCTTTAGAAAGATCTAAAGAATGAGTAGACCAAAGATGTGAGGCAAAGAAATAAATATTCTAACCTCTTGTTTTCATGGAGGATATTTATCTGTAGCAGAAAATGCAGCTGAAGAGCTTATCATTTAATATGCATGAAAGAGTTCTTATTCATTATATAAATAAGATTTAACAAATTAACAAAGTCAATTGACATGGAACAGCTGTGTCTTTTCATTTTATTGAACAATAATAAACTTGTCCTTTTAAAACAAAACCTAACAGCTTATACTGCTTACATTCAAAGACCCTCCCACACGCACATTCACAACTCTGATGAAAATATAGGTAAATAGGGAAATAAATCTTAAATAAGTTCTTTACTCCAAATAAAACACTTCTGCAAATATTTCCTAGCAACATCTAGTACAACAGTCCTGTTTGTGCTAAGATCCTCCCAAGTGTACTCCTATTTCCACTTATCAATCAAGTTTGAAAACAAATATGAAAATACACTATATTTTTAAGTTGATGTTTCCTGCTGAAATTGACTTTTCAGTTCCAACCCTCCTAATCAGTTATTGTCTACTTTAGATTTTAAATACATCTAAGTCATCCCACTGTCTTTTAAGTAAATTCCCTCTGTTGCTCACTTTTTGATATTTTATAAATCCAGAGTGACTAAATTTTTCGTTTCTCTTGTACTAATTACTGTTACTATGCAATAGCTATTAATAATATATTTTCCAGCCTCAGATGTTTGAAAGCCTTATAGAGTTACACCTTTATTGCAACTATTTTAAACAAGTGGTTTTATGTTCATTGCCCCCAGAGGGTGATGAATATGAGCATGGAGGATGACTTGTATTAAACATATTTGTTTATAAAAATATATAAATATTTACCTCATCCCTCCCCACCCCCCAGCAGGCAAAACACTCCCTAGTACTATCTCAGATGAGGCATTCTTTAAACACTGATGGAAATGTATTGTTGATCCTCTGCCCCAGAACCATCCTTCAACCCACCTGAGTGCTGCATTGGCAACAACCCCAATTCAAGGTCAAATACCCACAAGTTTTAAACATCACACATCAGGGGTTTTCTAGTTTGTTTGTTTGTTTATTTTTTTATTTCAACCCCCACCCATCCTCCCAATTAAATTAGGTTCTACTGAAGCTACCACAAGGAAAAGCTAAATATTATAATCCCCACTCTCACTCCCCTCCCTACCTTCTCTTGCTTCTGCCTGTTCCTCCTTTACGTATCCTAACATTAATGTACATCCAAGTCAAACAACCCGCCATGGGGTCACTGTGGTCTTCACCTTTGACTAGCTTTCTCTTTGACCTGTCTCCATATAAGATTATCTAAATTGCATTTTTTAGTTCTTCATTAATACTATACACACACATTTAACAAATCTATATGCATTCAAATATTTAACAAATATCTAAATGTGTTCAATCATATGCATTTTATGGATTGTAAGTAGCCTACTTTCTTTTTTCTGAATCTACCCTGAATCATACTTGACCTCCAAAAATTATTTATCCATATGCTATAATCTAGACAATTTTTTAAATGTTGGCTGAGTGTTGAACAATCATTAAAATAGAAGCTTTTCTTGAAAAATCCCACCCAGGATCAGCGTGGATTCAACCATTTCATTACAGGGGACTGAGCAGCATTATCTTTCACAGTTTCTTCTCTGACAGCATTGCCATCTCCAGATGCCAAGTCAAGCTCTGAAATTAGAAGGAATAAAGATAATATCCACATGGCTATAACTCAAAGACCAAACACAATTTTTTTTGTTTTTATTTAATTTTAATAGAGTCAAGATTCTGTGCTCTATATCAGTACCTCCTATCTAAAATAACACTTTTTGCATTATTTCTGTTTATAAACCTAATATTACCTGACATCTTATACATTATTTTTTTCTTTATTTTTTTCTTTATTATCCCATTCTACCACTATAATTTCAACTCCATGAAGGAGGGACTTTCTTTCATTTTCTCTAACATCCCATCATATACAACAACAATTGGAACATAGTAGGAACTTAATAAATATTTATGGTATGAGCAAATGCTGTAAGGATAGATTTCTAAGTAGGATTTTTATACTAACTTTAGAGAAGAGGGATTAACTTTGTGGTATGATTCCAGAAGGCAGATCAAAACGTATAATTTTTATATAGCTATTTCTTGCTTTACACACAAGAAAAGTTATAATATTTAGAATTTTCTAAAATGAAACTTTCTGCTACATGTCTTTGCTTCAGTGTGCACATCCTGAAATGAAATGCTATAAGAAGATGAGTGTGACCTAGGAGACAAATGCATATAAATTCATGATATATTTCAGATCTTAATCCCCACTCACCCAAGTAAAAAAAATAAATTTTAAAAAGTTACTTGTGAATTCCCAGTTTTAGGATGCTAACAAAATAAACAAATAAAAAAATAAATACATGGGACAACTAGGGTAAGGAAGCCCATCTGCCAAGAATGTTGGAGAAGACAACCTCAAGCAATTAGGGAATGGAAGGGACCTCTGAGAGAACCTATGCTGGTAAACCTTGGAGTCATTTAATCTATTCTCAAAAGGTGATGCCCTGTAAACTGTAGCATTCAAATCCAGAAAGTCTCATGTAGGAAGTGCACAACTAAGCAGGGGTTCCCTGGGCAAACTGTCCACAATCTTTAGAACTTTCTATTCTCCATCTTGAACCTAAGGTTTACCAAGATGAATTAATAATCTTTAAATACTCCAGATCAGAAAAAGGAGAAAACCAAATGCTTTTTCCAAAAAATGTCTAATAAGAATCTCAATATTTATTTCTGGTATAAAAGTGAAAATATTTTTGTGCTGTCTATCATGAATGTCCATCAAGCAAAATAGTATCTGTTTCCAAGGCATCTGTATTTTTAAATGTTCTACAATAATTATATATATTTGGGGCATGGTGTGATATTTTGAGTGTATAACGATTAAATACAACTGGCAAACCAGTCACCTCTCATGCCAGGTTTTGGTGGTGGAAATATTTAATCTACTCTTTGCAATTTTGAAACGTATAATGCATTATTACTTATAGTCACCATTCTGTTCACAGACAAATATGCTTTAGTGATACATGTCTTTTATTATTTTATTTGTTTAAATATGTGTCATTTTTAAATGGTCAATTTCAATTTAATAAAGCTCTATGAGCCAGGCCATTTATCAACTTGATAACCAAATATGTTCATGGTATCATCTTATTAGGTTATATATTCCTTATATTCTCACAACTGTGTAAGAAATGTACATGACCTATAAGCAGCATGTGAGCATAACTACAAATTCATTCATTTCTCAAATTTGATTTACAGTTAGTATTTCTTATCCTCTCCCAAATCCGTAAAAATACATGCTTGGAATGCTTCCATTTAAATGCTTCCAACGGGTTAAAAAAAATGTTCTCTATTTTTTTTTAATCTTGGCTCTTAAACCTTATCCAATAAATTCCTCAAAGTACATTTTCTATGTGAAGTTGGTTGGGAGAGAAATAGTTTTGTCTAGTAAATATATAAAACAGATCACTGAAGAATTTAAAGAACTTTACATATCTCAGTTGGTTATTTTTATTACAGATTTTTTAGTAATTAATCCTATGTATCCTCCATATAAACTGGGTTAACTTTGTGAGAAATTATAGTATATAATCTCAAAATTATTAATGGGATTATTTTAGAAAATAGCAACAGCAACCAAACTCAACTACTACCCACCTTTTCCTGAGTACAATCAAGGAAACAAGATCACTCAAATCAACGTTTTATTCTACTCACTGGCATTTTTTAAGTTTTAAAAACTAGAAATGAGATTACTGTTGCCATGCCAGACCAGAATCAATTCTTACCTGTGCTTGAAACAAATCTCCGGGAAGACTTGGTTGATGAATATGGGAAGAAAGAAAATTTCAGACATTTGCCGGTCACCCTGTCACATATGCCCGACTGGCAGTTGCAGGTTTCTTTGCATTCCATCCCGAAGGTGCCGTAGGGGCAGTCTGAGGGCAGAGGAAGGATTAGAGAGGTACCCGCTCATGTGTGTGTGCATGAGCCTCCATCCAAGCAGCCCTGCGTGATTGCCTGAGGATTTGAACCAACCTCATGAATCTTGAATGTACAATGAAATCCAATTCTTGAAAACCCAGGCTTTGAATCAACTTTTAAATTTACAGCTTTATAAAATTCACGAATTACTTTATAAAATGTGTAAAGTCATAAATTTTATAACTTTGGGTTATAAAAGTGAAATCACACAGTAAGATCAGACAATGGATGTTCCCGGCTTAGTGTAATGATGTAAAGGTTAACTGAAGACAGCTACACACAGCCAGTCTCCTTGGACCTGTCTTAATTCTGTTTATTTTCTGCTTAGATGTCAACAGACAGATTCTCACAGGTTATCTCTGTAGTAGCTCAGTGAAGATGGGAAATTAAAGGCTGGTAGAGTGCTTGCCTAGCATGTACAAAGCCCTGGGTTAAATCCCCAGCTCAAAAAAAAAAAAAATTGAATGGACATATACATCAGCTCCCCAGAGTTTAAAACATGTCATGCTGTCTTTGAATCCACTGTATTCACTGATAAGTTACAGTTTTAAATGTATAGCAAAGGTCTTCAAACTAACCAGGGATAAGAGAACTGTCACCTCAGCTCATCAGGAAGCAATCAACCCCCAAACTGCTTCAACCCTTGTAAAGTTCCTTATCTGTCTGAATAAGCAGTACAACCAACCTAACTCCCCCAGTTATTAGGAGGGTTCACCAGTAAAATTCTCAGCCAAGCTAAGATGCAAGATGCAAAATGAACAAGAAAGTTTAGCTTTTATAGACTTATCAAGAACTGGAAGCCTTTAGAGCTTCACTGTTTTTATACTTCGCCTAAAATACACTACACTGAGATAAAGAAGAGAGTCATTTGTTAAGAAGGCACAGTTAAATGACATAAACAGCATCTCAACTGGTCTGTAAAAGCCAGCAGAATAAATGTAGACTGTATATTCTCCTGGCATGAAAATATAAATGTACAATCACACCTAGGTAGAGAAACAAGTTGTGAGGTATCTGGATCTTTAGCAACCCAATAATCCCCAGAATGATCAAGATGGATATTAATAAAATACAATTTTAAATTTTTTTTTAGTTGTAGATTGACACAATGTCTTTATTTTATTGATTTATTTTCATGTGGTGCTGAGGATCAAACCCAGTGCCTCACACATGCTAGGCAAGCACTCTACTATTGAGCTACAATTCCAGTCCCATTAAGTACATTTTTATTAAGATTTAGGAGTGCTCTTTTCACCATCCTTCAGATTACAGAGGATCCTGCTTTTGTACACTGTCCTCTTGCTGGGAAGAAATCCTTAAAAGGAATCCTGAGAAAACCTCTAGGAGAAAAGAGCACAGGATTGGAATTTAATTATGCTTGCAGTGAAATCGAAAAATAAAAGTTTAGCCAAATTTTCAGTTACACTTCTAATGTATCCCCTGATATATCCAACAGTGCTGGATGCATAGTAAGTGTTCAATAAATATGTGTTGGCTACCTAATTGTTATCTGAGCAGCCTAATAGCAAGCATTTGGATATTTAGAAAACATTTGGATATGCAGTTGAATTGTATAGTTTTATGGGTATGCTATAGAAAAGCTAAGGGAGGGAGATTTCCTACAACAAAATGGAACATCTCTACCTAGAATATCTAAGTCTGACCTGTTCTCGTTATATCCAGCAGAGAGAAAAACGGAATTTGTCAACAATCTGAAGTATGCTAAAAAGAGGAATCCAAAAATGAATTTTTAAAAATGTGTCTCATTAATATCATCCTCAATCATTCAGTAGAAATGAGAGTGCTAAAAATTCCAAGTACCTTACAGCTTGATTCTTATAAATTGCATTTATACTAATGCAATTGTACATGTATCATCACATTTACAAAAGGCATTTCTATGCCAAGAGAAAAAGCAATCCACTGTATATACTGGCTATATCATAAGCATGATTGTGTTAACCACTTCCTCCCTAATTTCCTTATGTGAGGTACTGTTTTCTTGACTGATAAGCACCCTGATTTGCAGAAAATACAGTTCCTACTCAGTTGAAAGAAACAGAAGTGTATCTGTTCACCAAAGAAAATATTTACTCAATATTCTACGTCTTACTGGTTATAAGCAAAAATAATCTAAGCACAAAAACAAAATTCTCCCAATAGCCCAAGAATTTATTTTCTAACCTTTCATAGGTTTTACAGATTAATGTATTCACTTATAAATTATTTTCTAAAAGGAAGGAAAATTAATGGATTAGCTTAACTCTGGATGATTATCTCAGAAAAGAATACAATTGGATTAATACATAAGATATGAAAATTTAGAAATTTCTCAGAATTTTGACAAGTTACCTTTATTGTACATCTGATATTGTTACAACATGAGTTGTGCCTTTGTAAAAGCTCTTAAGGAGATTATGAATGGAGCATTTTTAATCACCATTCTTTTGATTTTAAACATTTTTAAAATTTTAAACATTTCGAACTATAGTCTTTAAGTTTTAAATAAACTCTACAAATGCTTAACTGTGTCATTTAACTATAATTTCAATCTGATAAAGTTTCCCTTTAAGTCTATAAAACAGCTGACCTTATTCTTTATAGACTTTCAATTTTTATTTTTCTTTACTGTTATTTTTGCTTTTCTTAGACCATCTGCTATTTTCCTAGTTAACCAAAATCTTTATAAAGTGGGATGAGGTTTGTTTTATACTCCCAGAGATTCCTGCAAGAAGGTGAGGTATTTCTTTAGATGACTTAAACCCTCCTTATCCCATCACACACATTAGCATTCGTCAGAAAGATTCGAACTGGAGCTCTCCTCTCCACCCTGTGGACCCTTTCAAGATCAAAGACTCACTAAATCTGGGGACTAGAAACCACTCCAAGAGATTATCTGGTGGGACCTCTGTAATCTCTGTCTTGACAGGAGAGAGCACCTAAAAGCATTCATAACAGATTACTTGTTAAATTTCTAAAGTTTTCCAGAAAAAGAGGTAATGCATCTTCCATTGCAACTTTCTTAAATATCCTAATCATAATGGGTACAGTGCTACATTTCATTCCATGCTCCCTGCACACTGGTTTCTATGCTGGGTGTAGTTTTCCTCCCAGGACAACACCTGTAGGGGACCTGCATCTTCCCTCTTCATCCTGAAGAGCAAAACCACCTCACCTCCCAAACTACCTACAAGCCCTCAGGGAGCCCTGGATGGAGGAAGCAAGGAGTCACTCTTTACCTTTGCAGATACCAAACTCTTCACCAAAATCATCCTCCTCACTGTAAAACTGACACCTCAGCCCCGGGCCACACTTCACGCCATCCATGCCTGAGACCGTGCGGTAGCAGGTTTCTCCCAGCCCTGCAGCGCACACCTGGCAGCAGCCACAGTCATCCAGCACCATCTTCTTGCAGTGCAAATTGCTTCTGCACTCACTACTGTCACAATGTTCTGGGCAGTCCACGGCATACTTGACACTCCAAGCCACAGCCAGGTGCACAGGTACAAGGAGTGTGGTCAGCAGCAAGAGGCTCCTCATGTTTCTCTGTGGGCTCAGGCTCGGCTCCGAGTTGTGGTCTTTGCTGGTAGCAAGCAGAGTCCAAAGTGGTAGCTGAGTCTCTGCCTACACGTTTATGAGTTTTATACACTGGGTTGCCCGCATGCTTCCCCGTCATCAATTTCCTCAACCCAGCAGCAGCGCTGTCCTCCTGCCAGCCTCTCTTGTTTTAGTTTATGAAATCCAGGATGAAGGCTGGATTAACACACTGCTGCCATCCAGGAATTGAAAAGCCCAAGCTGATGTCATCTGTTATGTTTAGATGGTTGTTTTGCATGAGGGCTAAAAAACTCACTCACATCCGTCTCAAGGGCTCAAGGACGTCTGTGAAGGGGGAATAATAAAGAAGGTTGCACACCCCCCTTCAGGACAGGAATTCTTCTGACACCGCATATCACTTGGGGTGTAGCTTTGTCTCAGAGTCTCTGTAGTTGGGAGGAAAATGATATCGACATGAATCATCAAGACCGAAGAAGCTTCTGTAAAAGAAAAAAATAATAATAAGCATTTGGTATTTCCCCTCAATAAATAGCTATGAGATCATTTGGAAGAAGAAAGGGTTATATTGTGCCTTTTCAATACTTAGAAGAAAGAAAATATTTTGATAGGGATTTTTTAAAGACCCTCTCTTCCTTCCTCCTGCCCTTCTCCTCCGAATATTATTTCTAAAGCAATTTGTGTCACATATGTCCAAGTCTATCGTGGATGTAGCTGTGTTTCTTAGTAAGATGTGGAACTGCAGCTGAGAATTTCCTTTAAAATCAACACGAAAAGCCACAAGAGAGGTAAGATCTTACTGGTGCTGTTTCTGGCTTACTCCATTCTGGAGAAACTTATCTGTTGGACTTCTCCTGACCCAAAACTCCCTGGAGAGAGGCTCATCCATCACTGAGTCTGCTCGACCAATGATCGAGTCTGTCGGGAGCCCTTCCCTCACCTCCTGGCATCTATCAGAGCCCTTGCTAAAAACCGCCAAACAAGGCAGCCAGCCCAAGGAAACAAACGAGCCAGCAGGGCAATGAGAATAAGCTCCAGCAAGTCCCGAGAAAGGAAAAACATTACCCATCAGGAAGCAAGGTCTTCATGCTATGGAAGGTCACAGGGCATAGGTCCCACTGCAGAAAACAGAGGAGGTCTCTTGAAATATTGACTGGACCAGGGCTTTATTGAGCAAGGTTTGCAGCACAGAAAGAGCAAGATGGAAGAAAACAGAGGGGATTTCTTACACCAACCATGTGTTGGATTATAAACCCCCTTTCCCACTTGTCAAAATAGAAACAAACCCATAGTCATCTGGTAAATAAATGACCCAGCAAAGTGGTCTGTTGAAATTAGCTGTGGGAAATCTACGGGACTCAGCTTCCTCTCTTGAGAATTGACAGTATTAGATTAGTCAACCTCTGAGATTCTCCAAAAGACGGGACAGAGAGGCCTGGTCTCTACTTTTGTGAATAAAATATTAGTGGGTGGAGGGAGCAGGAGGAGTGCAGGGAATTGAGGAAGTGGGAAAGAAGGCAAAAGTTTTAGCTTCCAAATTTCCCAAATTTTCCAAGACCATCTATTTTGAAATTCTTTATATTCATCTCTTTATATTTATCTTTAAATTCATCTCTCCAGAAACAAACATGTACATAATGGGTGGAAAACTGATTGACCGTTTTCAATAGTGGATAATATTTATTGAGCATATATTATGTATCAAACCCTGTTCTTAAACATTTCACATGTTTCACTTGCCCCTCACCACACTCTTATAAAGTAATTATTATCATGTCTACTTTTTAAATGAGAGGTTGAGTCAGAAAGAGGTCAAATAATTTGCCCCAATTCTGCCATAATGTCAGAGATTGATCAAACTATCAATTTAATCCCAAAGCCTCACAGTCTCTTGCTTATTATAATACAATCAAGTTTCCATGGCCAGTATCTCCAATGGTTCACAATTTAGGTTGATCCTAAGAAAGGTTTCTTGTTCAAACTTTGTTGAACACCACTTTCTGAGGAGAGAGTGGCTACCTGAAATAGTAGTTAATAATAATACCTACCTAACCTTTGTAGAATTCTTACTATGGATGAGACTCTATGCTAAGCACTTTATGTAGATTACACATTTAACCTTTAAAACAACATCCAGAACTAGGTACTATTCTTATACCCATCTTTGAGATAAGAAAACTGAGCCCTGGAGAAGTTAAGTAACTCATCCAACAGCACATAGTGAATAAATGGTGAAGCCAAGACTCCAGCCCTGAGATGAATGGGCTTGGAGACTAGAAAAAGGATTTCAAAATCAAATATATACAGATGGCAAACAAGTGGCCCAGATGGGTAAAGTGGTGAGCAATACAAGGTACGATTCACAAGGCATGGAGTGAATTTTGTACACCTGAAGAGCATACAAAGTTTTAAATATTTTCCACTATGGACAAAGGGAAACCAAATTGATACTGCCTTTGGTAAATGACAACTAAATAGAGAAGATGAAAATTGAGAATATGAAACCCATAACAGTAAACCAAACAATGCCTAGATGAAATAGCATCAGTAAAGTTCATCAATGACAGAGCTATCTCAATTCATAGTATCTAACAACTGACTCATTTTAGGAAAACCTTCAATTCCTTCTAAAACCCAGCAAAATCCCTATGGGATTTTTATCCATTTTTTTTCTATCTTCCTATAACCTCGAGCTCAGATCAACCAATTCCATTAAGAAAATTAGGAATTAATAAAGGGATAGGAAGTCAGCACATGAATAACCAAGAAGCCAATTTAATTTTCAGCCTCCCCCCAAAATTAAGGTAAAAGCAAAACTTGGTTTTGCTCATGGTTGACTTGCTTTGTGCTGGGAACTGGCCCATCTCTCAGCTTGCTCTGCCTGTACAGCAGTTGTACAATAAAGAATTAAAAAAAAAAAAAGGACAAGTTTTCAAATTCCAAAAATTTAGCCAGGCTCAGTAGCACATGCCTACAATCTCAAGAGCTCAGGAGGCTGAGACAGGAGGATCGTGAGTTCAAAGCCAGCCTCGGCAACTCAGCAAGGCCCTAAGCACCTCAGCAAGACCCTGCCTTTAAATAAAATACAAAAAAAAAAGGGCTGGGGATGTAGCTCAGTGGTTAAGCACCCCGGGTTCAATGCCTGGTACCAAAAAAAAACTTCCAAAAATGTAAATTCAAGGGGCTGAGGTTGTGACTCAGTGGTAGAGTGCTCGCTTAGCATGTGTGAGGCACCCGGTTCGATCCTCAGCACCACATACAAATAAAATAAAGATATTATGTCCACTTATAATGAAAAAATAAATGTTTTTTTTTTTTAATGTAAGTTCAAGCTCTAGTGGGGTTACACCAAACCATCTCTAGATTCACAGGACATAGCAAGTGGTCTTCTGAATTGGGATAGAGAAATGATAAAACCAAATCTCTATTCAATCCAGCATGCCCATACATTTAAAATGCAGTGATTTTTTCCTTAAATTTGGTATTGTGCCAACCAAGAAAATAAGCCTACATAATTACGCTGATATTTTCTACTTTAATTTGCAAAAAGTGATTGATTGCAACCAAATGCCAAGGATTTATTTCTGATAGGCAAAGATGATCCAGTGGTAAAAGTTCTGGGTAGGTTCCAAACCCTCAGGAGATGGTTCATGGTCAAGCTGATTATATCACATTAACTGTGCCTTCCTAACAACCCATCTCTACCCAATGAGTTTGATTTAAATTGAGTTGCAAAGGCAGCCTTGAAGGCAAACATTTCCAAGGAGCAAGAACAGATGTTTACAAGCAGATTTTTGATATGTGACACCTTTTAGGTATTTCAGTTTAGTTTTTCCTTGTGTGTGTGTTTGCATCCGAAAGTCTTCCTGCTCTTGACACCAGCTGTGACATTTTGGTATGTGCCTAGTGCAAGGTCTAGCATATTTTAGGAGCTTAATACTTAAGAAATACATATATGTAACCAGCTTTTCTCAAAATCATTTTCAGACAGCACAAGTTGAAATGGGCATAAATATGTTCCCCTTCTTTGTCTTTCCACCAAGAGAGATAAAGGGAGCACCTGCTTCTTAGGAGGGCAGGGTTGACCTGCAGAGCTGAATATTTCTCTGTGGGAAGAAAGTACAGGTTTCCAGAAATAGCAGAAGCCAGTGGGCATTGAACAGAGTCTGAGCAAAGATTGTCAGCTCTCACACAACTAACCTACTTGGTCCTCTTGACCTTTGGGGATTGGCAGTACCATGTGCCACCTGAGAAGTTCATGGGAGCCCTCAGAGTCAAGGAACTCTGACAAAATACATCTGTCGGAGGGCAGAGGATCATGGCAGGAACAGTAAGCGGTCAAAGGCTAGGGCCTGGGGAGTTCTAGACACAGCTCTGCCACTAGCAAGCTATGTGATCTTAGGCAAGTCACATGCCACGTACCTTAGCCCTCTTCTCTCTCTCTACCTCAATAATGAATTAAGAGGACCAAATAGTGCAACAGCCAAGAAAGTATCATGACCATTATCATAAGAATCTAATTTTTGAAGATTTGCTGCATTCTTAATAAGTGAACTTATGTCTTGGAGTAAATATTTCTCCAAAAGAAATACCTTTACAGTTCTCTAAGTTTCAATTTTTTTAATAAAGACAATTTTCAAAACTACAGGCAGTTTCCAAAACCTACATGTGTTCAGAAGAGTCAGTGAAGTGCACCTGTTTGAACCGGGCCTCCTGCCTGGGTACAGGCTCTTGGATTTGTACTAAGAAACAAGTCTACACTTTGGGCAGCTAGGGCACCCTCAGAGTTGCCCTTGGGACCCACAAGTATAGAGGTCTACAGGTGAGTGTGATAAGGACCTGGCATCCACAGTGTCTGCTACAAACCTCAACCCAGAATCTCTGGGCACTCAGAGAATTTTGTCTCCATAGCCACATCTTTGACTCCAGTGGAATCTGGGTAAGTTGCCAGATTCAGGTTTCTTTTTAACCCTGGTCAAATCTAGAAACTTCAACTTTGGGCTACATTGCTAGGAATTTGTTTAGAGCCAGGTGGTTTAGACTCAGGAACACATGAGGAGCTCTCGAGTTGTCTCCAGATGTCTTTCCCCCTTGCCCCAGTTCTGGCAAGCTCAAACATAAAAAGTGTCTCGGCAAGTTTTTCTAACA